ATAATTCGAATGTAGGTTTGAATACAAAAGTGTTCAAACCGGTTTTTAGAGGTTCGAACCGAACCGATATTTTAATTTTTTACGAACCGAACCTGAACCGTTATTTTTATCCGAACCTGAACCGATATTCGTTTCGGTTTGGATCCCTGATTAAAAGTTAATTTCGGAAAATTATTTTATTAAATGTTTTATGGGATGAATTGGTGTAATGAATTATTGTGTTGATAAAATTCATTAAAAAAATATTTTTTTTGGTGTTGTATAAACTTTTTTGTAAAATTTAAAGAAAATATTTATAAATTAAAGTTTAAAATTCAAGATGGTAATCCAGAAGTTTAAATATTTACCTGGCATGATTATACGAACTAGTGTGTATATTAATATAAAGGGAAATCAAAGTATGTCCGAACTACCCCCGCTAGCGACGCAGTCTTTCCCAACATGAAGAGGGAGAAACCCGGTAATGACGTTATCATTGTCAATCGATGGATCCCTTACAAAATCAGTGTCCCCGCGGATCTCAGACAGGCGGAAAAGTACCAAAATGATAGACTGCCGGTGCAAACGATTCCAGTAGCCCAACCAACGACGACCATAGCGGGAGAAATGGTAGAAACGGCGATACCAGTGGCAGCCCGCGTGGTTGAAACCAATATTGAAAATGGGAAATCATATGAGAAATGAATTAAGAAATGAATTAATGAATTTGGACATGATAGATAAGGAAATTGAAGAATTTATTCGCGGGGAATAATGGGAGTTATTTCTTTTTTCAAGGAGGGCCTTTGATATTCGTTTTAAATTATTTTATATTATTTGACTTTGTATTGAAAATCAATATTTTTTTTATTATTTTTTTTATTTAACGCTTTTGTTTTTTTTATTAGATTTTTTAAAAAATAGAAGTTAAGAAAAAATTCAGCAAAATTATCTTAATTTGTTGTATGGTTAAACTAATAACCAATGCTTTTCAATTGCTTCCAGTAAACACCCTTCATCACTGCTTTATAGATAAAACTATCTAGAATGAAATAACAGCAACTCTTATGATGAAATTAATTCATCAAGTATACGTAAAAATTTTATGTATATATTGTTTTTATATTATTTATATAAGATAGGAAATCAAAATAGGCATGGGGTAATTCCATACCCAAGTCGCTACCCTACCCTTTTAATTTTGAAAAAATTGCATACTGAGTGAACATCATTAGAAAGCATCGAATCCATAATTTTAGCCTTCAAGTACTTGTAGTTTCTGAGATATCAATGGTCAAAAGTGCCAAAATTTTTTACGAAAAATACGATTTTTAAAAATTAAGATAAGTTAACAAATAAAGATTATAAAAATAAAAATTATATGCCGTTTTGTAACTCTATTAAAGATAAAATAATAATCTTGAAGTCTTTATTTAAGTTATAAATTTTGAACCTGAAAACTTCAGGTGTTTCGCTTTCCGAGAATTTCTTAATTTAATATTTTGTTATTCACTCATATTATAACTATATATAAAAAATTTTTTTAACTTGGGAAGCCATGGGTTCTTTTAGTTATTACGATTTTTAAAAAAAATGAAAATTTTTTAAAAAATTATGGCGCTCCTATATAGAATAACATATTTTTTTTGTGAATTATAATAATTATTTTCTTGTAAAAAATTTTAATTTTCGAGAAATTAATTTATTAAATTTGCAAATATTATAGGAAAATTAAAATTGAGGAATATTACTTATTTGACCACTTGATAATTTCCTTTTGCAATATAATAAGTAGGGCTGTGCCGATCCACATATTTTTTACCGATCCGATCCGATATTTTCCGATATTGGTTCAAAACCGATCCGATACCGATCCGATATTTATATTAATTTTTTACCACCCCTCTTTGAACCAAATGTAATTAATAAATCAATATTTTTTATGCATAAAAGAATTATGCATAATTTAATTTTTTTATTTCAACAATAATTTTAAAAAAAATATATAATAATATATCCATTTTATGTTGGTTTATAAAATTGTAATATTTAATATATAAAATTATAATATATTAGATTTTTTTTAATAAATATAAGAGCCTCTAGATTTTCAGGCAATAGGCTTCTACGATGAGGACTATCAATATCCCCTGCCGTACTGAAGGCAGACTCAGATGGGACACTTGTTGCTGGAGGAGCCAAAAATTTACGTGCAAGTGTTGATAAAGTTGGAAATTTTACAGCATTAACTCTCCAATATTCAAGTGGATTCACTGGGGATATAATATTAATATCATCAATGTTATTCGAGTTTTCTAAATAAATAACACAAATATAAAATTAGCATTTATAAAATAGTGGGTTTCATACAAACCCAATCTTTTGTTGATTTTGAAAAATCACCCAAACAAATGGGTCAATCATAGCCCAACCAAGCAATATTTAAATTAATATGAAAAATATATTGTCATACTTTCTATATATGGGTTATTTTTTTAAAAAATTAAAAATAAATAAAACTTTGGGTGTTCCTTTCTATTTTTATAAAAAAACTTGTAAAATCTATTTAAAAAAATAAATAACATTTGCATTGTTTAAAAAAAAATTATTTATAAAATATTATTAATGTAAAATAGAAACTCGAAAAAATTTATTTTTTTTTTAAATATTTAAAAAAAAATTTTTTTATTAAAAAATAATAATTCAAAGTTTCATTACTCAAAAGTTATATAAGAATTGCATTTTTAGTAAAAGGATCGGATCGGGTTTTTTACAGGTATCGGGCCGATCCGATATTTTTGAAAAAGCCAAATATCGGGACCGATCCGATCCGATATTTAATATCGGCACAGCCCTAATAATAAGTACGCCCAGTCGTCTTTGATGGGTTTGCTTTTAAAATATTATTTTTTAATATGAAAAGGAGATCTGGTGTCGTTGCATAAACAAGAATTAGCTCGTCCTTTAGGATGGAGAAAATTTATTTCATATCTATTTATACTCACTTTTTACACAAATCCTAACCACCAATCATTTTCTTAAATACAGGTTAAATATCCTCTAATTTCATCGATTAACAGATCCTCACATGGATACACTATATTCTCTAATAAACGTCTGCGAATTTGAATATAATTTAGTATTGAACTTAGTCGAACCGATTGTAAACACTGCGTGAATTTTTTATGACCTAGGTATTGAGATAAATTTACTAAATTAGCCTTATCTCTTTAACCTCATACTCTGGTATAGTAGCATAAGTAAAATTTATATCTTTTATAGGCTCTTCAGCCTATTAATAAAATTTTACAGGTATAATTATTTGATCTGAACAAGGTCTTTGTTAGATTTACTTGGTAACTAACCTATTCTGGATTTAGCTTTTGATATTTTCGCTTGGAAATTAAGTTATCCATGTCATAACTTTGGCAGATTCGTTTTATAATAAAAGTGCTTAGATTCTTTAAAAGGATTTGAGCATTTATTATACATTAGAATTATGTGAAAAAATTTATTTACTATCGAAATATTTATAAAATAAAAATTAATTAATAGCAGGCAGGTGCACAAAACTGGCTTTTATCTTTCATTATATTTTCCTGCAATGTTATCAATAATAATAATAAGTAAGCCTATTAATGGCAACTTAAATAATATTTTTCATAATATTAAAGCTGGAAAATCATATTATTTATGTTTAAAAATGGAAAAATTTTTAAAAATAAAAATAATTTTAACAAAAATATCTTATTTTATATAGGAGCGCCATCCATTTGTGAAAAAATATTCGCCTATTTTTTTAAAATATCCGCCTATTTTTTTAAAATATTATAATAACTAAAAAATCCTTGGCTGTTCCAAGTTTAAATTTCTTTCACATATAGATATAATATAAGTGAATAAAATATTAAATTTAAAGAAAGTCAGAAAGCAAAACACCTGAAGTTTTAAAGTTATAAATTTATTCCTTAAATAAAAACTGCAAGATTATTATTTTATTCCTTAATAAAAAACCTTTAATAGTTATAATGACATATAATTTTTATTTTTAGCATCATTATTTTTTAACTTATCTCAATTTTTAAAAATCGTATTTTTCTGAGGTTACTTTTGGAGGTCTTTTTTGGCACTTCTGACCATTGGTATCTCAGACATAATAAATACTTGGAGGCTAAAATTTTGGATTCAATGCTTTATAATGATGTTCTCAGTATGCAAAATATAATCAAAATTAAATAGGTCAGGCCAAAAGTTATCTATTTGGTATGGAATTACCCCATAGAAGAAATTTCACCAATATCAGTAACCAATTCAAGTGGCATATTTAGTTTGTGGGTAGTAGATGCTGTTAAAGCAAATAAAAAGTCTCATTTATTAATAATGCCATCAAAATTGCCCGCATTCCCTTGAAATTGAAAATTATTTCAATAAACCAATACATCCCTTGACAAATATTGCAGATAGAAATACTTAAATCCCTATTTCCCAACCTAAGTTTATCAATCTTTTCATAGCAAGAAAGCAATATACCACAAATCCTTTATAATATTGTTATGTGAACTGCCATAGTTATCCTACCTATATTAAATCATAATTTTTATTATCAACCCACAATATTTAGATTTATTTTTATTTCTATCTTCTATTCAAAAAAATCAAATAAATTTCATGAATTAACTAAGTTATTATGCTTTTTTTATTCTTATTCTTATCTCAGTTTGACTCATTAATTATTTTTAAATCCTGTTTTTGTTGTAGATAAAAAAAAAAGTAATAAATTTTTAGATAATTTTTTAAAAAATTCATTTATTTAACAGTATAAATAAATTGTGTTTGGGTTCTTTTAACTAATTTAATATTATGAAATTATATATAAAACATGAATATATTATATAAACAATAAAAATAACTAGGAACCAATAAAATATTAAATCAGATCATTTTTTTGAAAATTCCCTGATCCAATATAAGAAGAATGCTAAAGGTCGGTCCAACCCAATATTTAATAATAAAACTATTACTTTTTGAAAATTTTCTAATGCTCTATCAGGATCATCTTCTTTTAGTGCCTTTGAGTTGTAATATTGATTTTCTAAATCAACATCAGGCTCATCATTAGATTCTTCAGAATATTGTAAATCGTATTCTTCATCATCATCACACATAAAATCATCTTCTTGAGACATTCAATGTAGTTTACAGAATTTATCATGCATGAGAGGAATTAGCTGGAATTACCCGAAAACATTGAATGACGAATAATTGAAAATTTACTATAATTGTAACAGCTGTCATATAAAAATTTTAATTTCATATCGAATATCAGGACGGACTGGCTAGTAAGCTTAGTAGGAAAATATCCGACGGGGCCTTGATTTTAAAAATTTAGGGGGCCTTCAAGAAAGAATTTAAGTCATTAGGAATAAATAAGATATTTATTTAAAAAAATAGGTATAAATATTTTTATATATTATATATTTATACATTTATTAAGTTTTATTTTCTGGTGGAATTATAAGCCTTATAAGTGCAAAGAAATATAAGGAATTAGATTTAAATGTTAACCCTCAATAGTCTATAATAATACCATCTCCGTATTTTCATTAGTTCTTTTAATGTGGATCCAATAGAAATTTAATAGGAAGGCATTTTATTTGTATTATTATTCTCTTAAAACAAATAGCCGCAAGTAAATATTTAATTAATTTTTATAATTATATAGTAGCGGGAATGTGTTTTTTCCAGCAATGTGGTATTTTTTCAACTTTAAGTCGTCAGCTCTTTTTTAAATTTAAAATTGGGATTTTAGCGGAAATATATTCCACCAAGTTTGAAATACTTACCGTATAAATTTCAGACAATTTTGCTAAAAACTGAAATTAATATAGTTTATATTAGTTTTTCCATAGATTTTTTATCTATATTATAATTTTCAGATGTCCTCACTATGTCATTCGTGACGTCATGTCATCGGTATGTCATGTCATCGATACGTATAATCATCGGTATGTCATGTCATCGGTATGTATTATTATCGAGATGTCATATCTTTGGCACATATTGTAATAGTGTCATATCATCGGTACGTATTTATTTATTTATCTTTTTTGTAAATATTCTATCAAGCCTCATTTATAATAAATGGGTTATAGTGCTAACAAATTGAACGTTTAAACAATGCAGCGTTTCAAAACGCAAATAATGCATTTTAAATGCATTCTTTAAATTGTACAACATTTTTTTTATTAAAAATTTAAACGTTTCATATTAAAAAAAATTAACGTTTTAATTTAAGCATAGCTCCGTTTACGTTTATTTGCTTTTTGAAACGCTATGTTGAAACGTTCAATTTGTGCGCACTATTATATATATTCAAACCTATAAATCATTATTTGAAAAGGATATGTTGTGATTAGTTGATAAAAAATATGCGATGTCGATAAAAAGATATATAATTTTTCCTAAATATTATAGAAAATAATCTCCATTTTAGATTTATAAAAACACTTTATAACATGGAAAGACTATTGTTATAGTATTAAATATTTTACTCAGAGAGTTATATAAAAATGGTAGGAAGAAATTTAAAATAAAAGGAAACTACAAATTATGTCGATTATTTTAAGAATAATGATGCCAGTTATTTATATTTAATTTATATATCCTAAATTAGATGTATATAAGTATATGAAAGCAGTGACGTCGCTAGGGGAGGGGGTGCGCAGGGCTCAAGTCCCCTGGAAAATTTGAATAGCCCACTGAAACAAAATTTTTTTTTAATGGAATCTTAACCCCTTGAACTAAAAATAAATTTTTTTGATTGCCCCCTGATAGATTTCTTTTATTATTCTATTAAGTAAAATATAGATTTAATTTTATGATTTAAAAATTAATAGGACTATCTAAATATTTATTAAATGAATACTATTTTAAATGTTAGATTAAATTAATACATATAAATTATATTTTCACTATGTCAGCTAGCAATCAAATTTGTGTTAAAAATAGAATATCAATATCACTCACTAAATATTAATTTAAGCATTAACAGCTGAAGCTTAATTGACTATTATTATTTAAATTATTTTATAACCCTAATAAAATAAATATAATCATTTATTAATTGAAAACTAAAAAAGTTAATATTGTAATTAGCAGAGTTCAAAATAACAAATCAACTGTATATTTATTTTTAAATTTTATTACCATATCTATTCCTAAAAATATTTTCAAGGTCCAAATAAGTATAATAAAAAGTAAGTAAGTAGTCATATAGTTTATAATCCTCTATTATATACAGTTGTTTATTAAATATTAGATAAAATGCCACTTTTTTAGACGTATTTGACAGTTATAATATATAACAACTAATATTATAATGAAATTTACTAATGAATGCGTTAGTAAATAAATATAGTAACAATTTGCTTTCAAGTATTTAACGCTATCTATTTAGTTATAAATAATTTTAAAAATTAAACATTTTATTATTCAACCTACAATAGATGTTATGAATTTGATATCTTTTCTTTTTACGTTAGGAAAGCTATTTTTTTCTTTTTCAAAAAACAGTTTTGAGTTAAATACAAATAAATTTTTGATATTTTTACAAACTACTTATATTTTAAGATATAATATATAAACTAGAGGTGGTGCGACAATATATAAAATCTTAATTGTTTCATCATATCATTCTAGTCCTTATTTTATAGTTCCAAAATGTTTCATTTCTAATATGGCACCTTGCCGTTTAAATAACTCAAGGCTTCAATATATTTGCACATTTATTTTTCCCAAAGATTTTTAGTGTTTTTATATCAATTTATCCAACATAATAAATTCTGATACTACTTTACATCGTGAGCAGGGTTGCCATGTCTCCCCCCATCAGCGGGACTCCCGCAAATCTTTAGTTTACACGCAGACATCTCTCTTCCGCAAAACTACCTTAATTGGAAATCTTCCGCAAAAATTTACCGCAATTTTTTTAAAGTTTTTAATATATAAATAATCATTTTGAGAGACAGTTATTGATTATTTTTTTATTTTTAAAATAGTTTTAAATATTTATTCGAAAAAACATGTCTAGTTTGTAATTTCTTTCTATCCTGTTTTAAATTTATCCTAAAATAGTTTTAAATATTTATTCGAAAAAACATGTCTAGTTTGTAATTTCTTTCTATCCTGTTTTAAATTTATCCAATAATAAATCAACAACATTTCATTCATCAGTACAGGGGAGTATATCAACATCGATTGCAATACAAAAATATTCTCCAAAATAATAAATAATACAGATGCAACTACGGTTGCGGAAATCGTATACATCTAACATGTAGTTCAACATTCACAGAGCTGTCGAATCTTTTCCCCATGATATCTAACGACTCCAATATAAGTGCAAACCTTACTTGTGGTAGAACAAAAATGAGAAAGGCTATCACAAGTGTTTTAGTACCTAAATTCTAGAGGTCAATTCTAGACGATTTGAAAGATGGGCATCCATATGCAATTCTGACAGATGCATCTAATAAGGGAAATATTAAAGCATTTCCCTTGATCTTTAATTTCAACAAGAATAATAACATTTCAATAAAACTGTCAATTTTTTTTCCTTGGATAGGGAAAAATCTAATGATGTAGCTAACCACATAATATAAATATAGCTGATTCAGGGTTATCAATGAATTACATGTCAGCTTTCTGCGCTGATAATGCCTCTGTAAATTTTGGCAAAAACCAAAGTGTATTTACCGAATTGAGGCAGCACAATAATGAATTAATACCAATTTACTGTAAATGCCATATACTACATGATTCTTGCAAGAAGGCAATGAATGTACTATCTGTGGATATCGAAATAAATATGATAAGAAGTTTAATTCATCAACTAGGAGTTGGTGGAGTGGTCTGACTTTGAATGGTGTGAGTTGTTACGATATGTACCTATCAGGTGCTTATCGTTAATACCTGCCATCGATAGAATATTAAAATTTTACAAAGCCTTAAAAAAATACTTTTTAAATTAAGATTTTAAAAGCTGTCCTAAAATTTTGAAAATTTTTTTCAAGTATGAAATGGCAGACGAACAGATGAAATAACTAAAATTAGATATAAAATATATAAGATGGCACCTTCGATTCCCATTAAGGAAAACAGTGATTCTTTCTCAACATTTCTTATTAAATTGGAGGCATATTTCACATTGAACAATATTACAGATGAAAAAAAGAAAAAAGGGATAATTATTCTCTCATTACAATCCAGCGATATATATATTCTAGCCCAAAAAGCGGTGCCGAAAAATATGATGGATCTAAAGTATGATATGTTAAATATTTTAAAGGGGAAGGAAGCATTTATATTCTCGCGATAGACCATGAAATTTATCCTCAAAAATTTGAAGAAAACAACAAAATTATTGATAAAATAAAACACGAATACAAAAAGGACAATAATGTCAACGAAATGGATAAAGGAAACGAAAAATTCAGGGATAAAGCATCCGACTCAAAAAAAATTACCAGATTTTATGCCTTGTCATATAACTTCCATTAACGATTCTGTAAATTCTTACAGTTTAGCACTTGTATTAAGTATCGAGAAAAAAGAGCAAGTCACGTCAAAACGAAAGAAATGTTCAAAGTATTTATTAAAGGATAAATTATACGTTAAAACCACTAAAATTTTACATGAGTGTAATAAAATTGATGTAATACCCAAGTCTCCAACTAGACATTATCAAGATATAAAAAATATTTTAAAAGATAAAAATAGTGAAAAAATCAAATTAAATAATGACAATATAAAAGTGAAAAATATTTTAAAGGACAAAAATAAGAGAAAATATTCACCCAAAATCAAAAAATACAAATTCGATATATGTAGATTGAAAATATTTCAATATAACATCTGGGACGACGATGTATCAGCATCTCAGATAAAATTAGAAGAAATCGGCAACAAACAGATTAAGAGACTCACGATCAGAATAATTCAACAAATAGAGCTACCGAAGAGGGAAAAATTTACGAATTCCAACAAGACTAAACTCACATCTAAGATCAACAACTTCGACTTCGGAAGGGGAAGGAAATGGAAGCAGGATACGAAAATAAAAAAAATACTAAACGAATTCTTATTAGCGTATAGAAACACCCAGCACACGACTACAGGACAAACCCCAGCACAGATGATGTTTGGACGGAATTCTCGGAATCATCTTGAAATGATTAAAGAAACCCATGAGAGCAAACAAGA